TTTTTTGTTGCGTGACAGTGAAAACGATCTATATCAAACATGAACCAACAGAGTAATTCTATTGCAATTTTTGGAGCCAAAGTATGGAATTGCCTTCCACTTGAAATACGCAGACTCCCGAGGAACGCGTTTAAACAGAAAATTTAATATAATATTAATTTAATATGAATTAAACCTATAGTAATAAATTGACCATAAGTATTGTACTTCTTTTCAACTAACTGTTTGTACTACACGTTCTATGCAACAATTTTCTTTCATTTATATCACTACGAGCGAACTGTTAATTGTTGTTTTTGTTTTTGACAACCCGCCTCGATTAGCTATGCTAACTGCGGTTTGTCAGTGTTTGTAATACTGTTCTTTTAAAAACGGAATAAAGTGTTGCTGTTGTTGTTGTCACCGAAGTGAATTGACTGAGAGAGACTGAAAACCATTGCCTAGTCTTTCGAAAGGTGGATAACGCTATCGATCCTTATATCGATCCACGCATATTGATTTCCCTCTCTCTCCTCCACAGAGACCTCTTTGTATCGTAGGCCATCGGGAGGGCCGGAGAGAGAGGATTTATCCGGTGGATGTCTGAAAAACTGGGCCCCTGGTAATTAGCTTGTACGGTTGTACGGCGAAAAAATTCATAAACTGGCGCCAATTTTTTTATCGATTTCCCATCCCGCTTTGCGAGTCAATCACCGAGGAACGCAAGATGGCGGCGGGCAGTGTGAGGAACATGGAAAATCTTTTCGAACAGCAAGACAGAGAGAAACTTTTAGAGCTTGATTTTTGTGATTCATGGGGAATTAGGTTCAAGGGAAGTGAAAGCAGCGCACTTTCTCTTCTAAACAAGCTGAGACTCGAGGGAGAAGGGGGTTTTTGCGACGTGACCCTGGAAGTAGAAGGAAGACAATTGGCGACTCATCGATGTGTTTTGGCGGCAAGCAGCCAATTTTTTTATACCATGTTTCACAGTGGTATGAAAGAATCAAATCAAACACTCCTTAAGTTGCATTCGGTTAGTTTTGACTCCATGTCGCTCATTCTTGATTATTTTTACACGCGAGAGATTGTTATAAACTACGACAACGCGTTGGAGTTGCTCAACACTGCAAGCTTTCTTCTTGTTACTCCAGTGAAAAAGGCGTGCATTCAGATTCTCAACAATCAGCTTAGTATTGAAAATTGTTTCAGTATCCTTCAAGTAGCCGAGCAGTTTGGCGCAAGTGAACTTGCGAAAAGGGCAAGCAACTATATAAAAGAGAACTTCTTCTCTGCGGTGAACAACGAAGAATTTGTTTCCATTTCAAGAAAGAGTCTGATTGACTTTATATCCAGTGATGAAATTCAAGTGGAAAGGGAGGAAGAGGTCTACCAAGCTGTACTGAAGTGGGTGAAGTATGATGAAGAAAATCGTGTCTCAGATTTACCTGAATTACTAATCCATCTCAGAAGGAAGTCGTTGCCTAAAGGATTCCTGAAATCGGAGATGTCGAAAGAGCCAATACTTGGTGCCTTCTCCAGTCTGTTAGAATCTTCCAAGAGGAAGATCAAAACAAAATGGACAAAGAAGAAACGTGAAAAGCAAACAGGGGCAGATGACAAACCAGAAGCTGAGAGGACAAGAACGTCTACAGAATTGCATAATGTCATGATTGGGATTAGATCTGCACTGTATGGTTCCCGCAAAGCATTCTGTTATGATTTGGACAAGGAAGAAACATTTGTTTTATCAGATTACCCCAATATGCATGTTGATCCAGAACTGGCAGTTACTGGACGGTCTCTGTACATAATAGGTGGGAGTAAACTTTTCAATGGTGCTCCCACAAGATTAAGTGCTCTGTGTCTTGATGAGGTGAAGAATCAGAGGAAGCCTTCATTTAGCATCTTCAGTATGGACCCAGAATGGGAGACTAAAGCACCTTGTAAAGTTAGCAGAATAAAAGCTTCCCTGGCACAACTTAATGGGCTGCTGTATTACATAGGTGGATGGCTTGAAGATGGCAGTTGCTGTAACACAGTGGAGTGTTACAATCCAGAAATGGATGAGTGGGTGTACTGTGCCAGCTTAAACACTTCCAGATCTAGGTCAGGCTGCGTGACAGGGAATGGTCACATTTACATCATTGGTGGTGGAACTGCTCATATATCAGAGAATTCAGATTTTCTTTCAAGTGTTGAGAGGTTTGTTTGAGTTGAATAAGAATTTTCTCACTTTTTTCTCTTCCATGCCACTAGGCAAGCAAATGGCAAGATCTATGCTCACTGCACAGAAATCACTAGATTGATGCCATTTTTATCCATAAGAATTGCAGGGTTCGTACAGGTCATGGAAAACCTGGAAAGTTGTGGAATTTAAGAATTTCATATTTCAGGCCTGGAAAGTCATCTAATTTAATAGTTGGTCCTTGGAAAATGAAAGTTCTGTTTGGTAGATTGGTCACTGCAGATGACAAAGCAAGGACAACTTAAGATCAAGAGGAGTAAACAGTGCGAACGGCACACATTTTGGTGGACACTAGAGTTTGTGTCTGTTGAACTATTTAACGTCAAAAAATAAATGCTAAAACAAGAAAAGTTTTGAAAATTTTCGAAAGCGACAGCTAAACCGAAGGCCATGGAAAACTCTAAAGGGTCATGGAAATAGTCATGGAATTTGAAGACCTCAAAAGAGTATTTTGAACTTTTTTATCTGGTCATTTCGTATCTTGAAAATTTTTCTTTCTGATGTTTGCTCTTTGCTGTAAATGTGATTGTAAATCTCCCCAATGTTTCACTCAGCTCTGCCTTAGACCTGAGTAAAACATAACCCTAATAGTGGGTTAAATGCTAATAGTTACTAAGTAAACAACTTAAATTTGGCTTTTTCCAAGAAGTTAATGAGTATTTTTGGTGATGTGGATAATATAAAATAATATAATATTATATAATGCACACATTGTGTTGTAAATCAAAATGAAATGTACTGCCTAAAATAGTTTCAATGTAGGTTGGTTCTCAATTTCCATTATTTCCTAACGCTAAGTTTTTGATGATCTTGATTCAATAATTAGGGTTAGAAGACGAAGGAAATTGAAAATAAACCTTATTTATCTTTTTGTTAGGTAGAATAGTTCAATAATTCTTAAAACGTTTCTCATCCAATTTTCTTGAACCTGTTGGTTTTTAATACCTTTGTAGGTATGATCCAGGAAAGGATACATGGTCATTTGTTGCCAGTATGAATCAAGCAAGGCTACTGCCAAGGTCTGTATGCTTGAATGGCAAGATCTATGTGATTGGGGGACGTACATCCAGTACAAATGGTATAACCTCAACCCCTACGTGTGAAGTGTATTCTCCTAATACTGACGAGTGGCATTTTATTGCAAGTCTCCCTTACCTTGATACTGGATGCAATGACGTTATTGTAGTAAAGAACCAGATCATAGTGCCTTTGATGCCTGATGTAACTTTTGATTTCTCCCACGATGCTGTAAAGTACAATGTGCGGACTAATACTTGGCGAAAGGTGGAGCATTTTGGTCCAAGCAGCAAGCTGGCATCTTTTACTCTCTGTACCACTAAGCTGCCTGCAATGATCCTGCAAAGACTGCCCAAAGCACTGTTTTTGGACGATGTTTTTGGAGAAGATAGTGAAAATGATATGGAAGATGATTCTTACAGAAGTGACAGTGATGACAGTTTAAGTTTCTTTGGATGGCGTGCAGTGCATGGGTTTATGGATTGGGCTTATGGCTTCAGTGGTGATGAAGCCTACTGGTAAACAGTTTGAAACCTTCCCTTAATTTGGGGAACTCTAAGTGCCATGTTTTGTTTGCTTTGGGAGGTTTTAAATGTGCATCAATCATTGAAGCATTTCATTTTTAAATCTTAAAGTTTACCAGTTAACTATGGGTACTTGTTTTAACCATCATGAAATTATAGGGCGTTTTCACTCATGTGGCCAGCATCTATGCTAATTTATTGGAACAATGAAAGTTTTTGCATAAGAAAAGAGTGCAACTCCCACAGGATTAGTTTAGAACACCAATATAGCCACCATTTCATTGTTATGGAACACCAATATGGCCGTTGTGATGTCTGTGAAAATGCTTTATAAGGAAGTAGTCTTCATTTTGCACTGATGCTTTAGGTAGTGTGCTAGTTAAAGGTACCTGAGCAATAATAGTCTTAAAATCCCATTAGAATGCACTTAAGCGATGCAGTGAAGATATTGGTGTTCCAGTAAGAGAACCTTCAACATGTAGAACTGTCAATAACTTGTCATGTTGCTATTGACTTATTACAAATTGTATGGAGAAGTTTAGTTATGGTCACTTGTGGAGGTTAGACTGTGGTGCCTCCTACAACTGGTGACAAAATTATTGGTTTAGGCACATTACTCTGAATAGCCTGCAGTACAGGCGTTTTCTTCGGGCGCGCAAATGATTTGCTCATGAAAGCGCATGTTGAAACTCCAAAAGAGGGGAGAAAATGGGGCGAGTCATAGGGTTACTATTTTTACTTTCCTTAATCTTCCTCCGTCATAACAAAGATGGTGGTTACAACAGTACAAACATAAACAAGCAGCTTTTGCCCGCCCAGAATCCGCCTGCACAGCAGGCTATACTCTGAAGGACATTCCCCTTGGTTTGCTGTTCCTTCCACACTGCCTCTCGACAATATTGTCCTGCAGTTCAGGGTATGTGTAAAAGAAAATACAAAGAAAACTACATCATTGTCCCAACAATAATTCTTCTGTTGCCAATTATAGCCCAAAAATATCCTTGCACAGCTTCTGACTGAGTTGTAAAAGTAGCTCTCAGGGAAATCTGAACACATACAGTGAACGTGACTGTGCAGGTTTCAGACCAATTTAAGGCTGTAATTCTGATGCAGTTGAATGTCAAAGGTTTGATGTATACACTAGCAAGTGTTTATAAAAATAATAGTTAGACAATGTTACCCTTCTTTCATTTTTCTTGCAATGTTGAAAATACTTTGCACTTATGCAACTTAATGTTTGCAAATTGCATCTGTTTCAACAAATCTGCAGCTTGAGCTTGCTTCAATCGCTAAAGCCTTAGAACTTTTTCGGTAAACTTAGTTAACTATCAGGGTGTGATGTTTTATGATAATTAACAATATTATCATTCCGTGAGTGCTCTTTGGATATGAGATGGCAGGTAGCCAACAAGGCATGAAGTGCTGAGTTGGCTATCATCTCATATCTAACAAGCACGAGTGGAATAATTGTTTTATTAAAAATGCCCACAAAATAGCGAGAGTTCTTCCCGACTTTATTTGTAAAAACAACCGATTTTTAGCTTGTTTTTAATTTTGAGCAGATTCGTACAGTCACCATATTTGTAAAGCATGGTATAGTGGTTCATATACCATGATGGCCAAACCAATCACAGCCCTAGAATTGCATTATCCAATGATTCATTTTTTAATAATACATATTAGTTGGAAAATTATGGGTAGAGAAAGTTACGCCCATGATATATATAGAGAGAGTTATATTTTTGAAACGTTCCTGTTTAGAAATAGCAGATACAAATTCAAAAGGTTCAGTGAATTTTTAAAGTAAAATGTATTTTTAAGAGTTTTATTTTACATGATATATGATATGAAGTTTTTAAGTGTTATGGTAGTCTCGTCCATTTTATGAAGATTTTCCAAATACTTCATCTGAAAGTTGACATAAAGAGAAGAAATTACTTCTAAATGACATGTTAGTGACAAACAAATACGTGTCATCACCTGCCTCGTACCCAGACGTCTCTCTCTCTATGAAAATGTGCACGCAAAGGAAGGCGGGAAGGAGACAACCGTCTGTACCCTTCCCATGGTCCCTTGCGGTTCATCACCAGTCACTCGCATTTCGTGCTTACCTCTACGATGAGAAAAACGAAGCGCCTGAGGAGGAGGCTGTGTCATCACTGGTCATGAGTGTTGTAATACATAATTAGGGACAACAGCAATCTTTGAAAACTGTTATGCAGAACAGCTTCCAAAATACCCACATGCAATGCATTTAAATCTTTAATTCTGTTTCTCCATCCATTCTTGGTGTTCACAATAAAAATGAAAATGTTGGCTTATTTGACCTTCAGAAATGAGAATAAATGCTTTTCAACATAACACCTTGAGTTGAAAAGCTTTTTCATTACGGTTCGCAGCATTGTTCTCACGACGGTGAAAATCTTTCGAAAACATCAATTTACAAACAACTGTAGGGTCCGCCCCCCCCCCATAAAATCCTTAAAGACCCTGGGGATGTGCCCCTGGGACCCTGGAACCCTTAACCTATACCAGAGCTAGTTCAGCTGAATTTTGCTACCCTATACTACAGTAGACTCCCCAAATCCCCCCTATCCAAGAGTAGCTGTTTTCCAGAAACTACTGAGGTCACTAGGACAGTCTAGTCAAAACAAAACCTTATACCACAATCCCTAGATGAAATCTTCAACCAACTGATCAGTTTCCTGAAAAATGATGCCCTATTCTAGACCCAAACTCTCTGATTTATATTCCCTATCCTAGAGTAAATTGCTTGAAAACCATAGCCTTCACAGCGGCACATACCTATATAGCCCATATATGGCAGTACCCCACCCCCACTCCCCGGGGTTGACGTGTTATGAACATTTGCATAAATATCGATGTATTAGCCTTTTTTGCTATCTCGCCTTTTGGACAGCCGCTAGTTTGTCACCGAACTCGGTGTCTAGTATTTTTTGTGTTTTGTTCTCTGCTTTTGATAGACGGTTCAGATGTTATAGATGCTGTTCTTCCTAAAGGTTTAAGTGTCTCCGCTCCCCCTCTTTCTTGTGGCACGGTTGAATCTGGTTCTTCCGCGACTACTGCCCGGACGTTTGCCGAACTGAAAAGTTTTTTGTCCAACGAACTTTGCTCTTTTAGAGAGGAGCTTAAGAGGCAGAACGATGAACGATGGTCCATTAGCCAGGCCGTCAAGAAAATCCGCTTAGAGAACTCGGCTCGCCATTCTTTTAAGTCCAAAGGTAATGAGCAACAGTATAATCATCAGGAGAAGGTTCCTACTTTTTTCGACAGCGTCATTCAACCCCTTCATTCTGGAAAACCCCTCGAGGTTAGAAATGTCTTAGAGGAAGATAAGAATTTTGTCGCTACTCGTTCGAAGATCTGCACGGTTGAGAACGATTCTGATGAGGAAAGGATTCGTAAGGTTCTTAAAAAGTCAAAGGGAGAAGAAAAAGGCGGAAAAGGCTAAGAAGGCCAATAAATTTAAACCTGAGTCAAGGCGTCTCTCTCCTAGCTATTCTAACGATTTTCCTGCTTTTCCCTCTTAGAGCAGCTGCTACCTCTGCGGTAAGCCAGGCCCAGGTTCAAGGAAAAATTAAATTGGCCCTTATACACAGTTTAGGGAATTTGTTTACATCCTGAAACATGAGGTATGCATTATTAAAGTGAAACTTTTCAAGAGCTTTTTCATGGCCAAAATGAACTCAATTTAATAAGTAATAGTGGTAGAGACGTCACATCTTTTTTTGCTGTTGAATCCATCGATCACACCCTGTCTCGCTTCTGCAAATCTTTGGTTATCTCTGAAAACGACAACTCCGAGAGTTCTGAACATTGGAATTCAGGAGTGTTGAGCCCGCTTAACTCAGCTTTCAACGCTTGCTTTGAACTGGCGTGAATCAACTTATCTTGACCACAGCAATCATCTTTACACCTAAGTATAAAAAAGGAAAATCGAAACATGTAATCAAAGAAGACATACCTTTGACAGAGGGTTTAAAATAAAGGCGGAAATGAGAGTTTACTGCAAGAGCTCCGGGGGTTACCTTGTTACAAAAATGCGCCTAAGAAAGGACCGGTTTATCCTCTCTTGCTTGAAACTATCTTGGTTCCAAACAAATCCGAACTACGATAGGGGAGTACGTTTCGTAGGAGTTGAAAACAGGCTGCAGTTTTTTTTACATAAAACAACCGAAAAAGAAAATACAGTAGAACCCAGATAACTCGAACTCCCCGCTAGCTAACTCGAACTAAAGCCAATTTTCGTTGGATTTCACCCCGCTTTCAAGTCATTTTTACTCGCTTCCCTCGATCAAAAAGTGCGGACTGAAATTTACCCCGATAACTTAAAGTCTGGTACTTTTAACTCCACACGGATGCCATCCCATTAGCTCTTCTTAATAGCGTAAAAGCGTAAAAACACTAAAACTAACACTATTAAAGGCAATTTGACTGACTTAATTGGTGAAACGAACAGACCACGTTTTATCATAAAAATGCCTAATCACGTTACTGTGAAATGAGTATTAAAATTTGCACTGCACCATAAAATAAATTACTGAGAAATCAGTAACTATCAATTTTAACATGGCAAATTGAATTTTTCAATGCGCCGACCCAATAACTCGAACCCACTCTGACTCAAACAGTTTTTCGTTTCTCTTCAGAGTTCGAGTTGATGCAGTTTTACTGTAGATCGTGCCCTACCAGCTGATAAAGGTTAGCTTCGGCTGTGAAACGGTCTGGTTTGACCGAGTGAAACAGAAGTCAAAAACTATATAGCGCGGTTCCTCGCCCAAGGAGTTTTTCATCTCGTTAAAAATTTCCTCATTCCGTGTCTGAGAGCAATTCGGGGGCAGTTTGGATCCTNTAAAGGTTAGCTTCGGCTGTGAAACGGTCTGGTTTGACCGAGTGAAACAGAAGTCAAAAACTATATAGCGCGGTTCCTCGCCCAAGGAGTTTTTCATCTCGTTAAAAATTTCCTCATTCCGTGTCTGAGAGCAATTCGGGGGCAGTTTGGATCCTCGCTTCTCGACAACAATCTTCTTTTTGTCTTCGATTTTCATGACCACATATGCGTGCGACTTTTTCGACTTGATTTCCTTAAAGGCACCGATGACATCTTGGTCGACTTGCACTCCAGATGACTGCAAAATAACCCAAAAATAACTTATTCATATAAAAAACGGGGCCTCGTTGAAGTTCAAATTGTTTGTTCGCTAAGGATTTGTTAACTAAATCGGATTTTATCTTACTGATTCATTTTACATACTTAAATGATGTTGTTAGGAAAAAAACAATCGGTTAGTAAAATCATGATATACACGGAAGGTAAAAGTAGCATTATAATCTGAAAGAATCACACATAATCATTGTCCAAAATTTATTGCAGAGAGGATTAACGCATTCTTAAGGCTTTTGACAACAGTCAAAAGATGTTTTTACCACTATATGCCCTGCGAGCAGAGGCTACATTTTCGCGGTATGACGCGGGCTGGCGTGCGAAAAGTAGCCTACTTTTAGCACGCCAGCTCATACGGTGAAAAGTGTAGCCTCTGCTCGCAGGGTAGCGGCTATATCGCTAAGGAATTTCCAGTTTTTCTAAACCTGGATTGAGAAGCAAACTGCTACTGAAAAAGCTAAAATTAGAACAAATTAAAGGACACTGAATACAAAAGTTTTTTGCACAAGTACCATATATAGCAGATCCACTTTCTAGTGTGTAAATTCAATATAACATGTTGATAGCATTCAGTTACTTTTTACCGCAAAGTTTTGTTTTTTCGGACAGGTGTTCCTGCTTTCAAAGTCACAAATCCAAAGAATTCATTTTCTTTAAGCCCAAATGAAAGAATGATACTTCCTTTGTCAGGTTAGATACCATGATTTGTATTAAACTAGTACTGAGGAATTTCAGAACTAGAAGCCTTAATTTGAGTAGACTATTGTCCCCTGACATTGAATTTAACTATTGTTCCAATAAATGAAAAACTATAAGATCCTATAACTTTTCCCTGAAATGTTTGCCGGGTTATATGTACCTTCTTACGAAACAGACAACACCCAAGAAAGATTAAGTTCCTATACACTATCCTGATGTGCAATATATACTCACCATTTTTAAAGATTAAGTGAATTGACTTTTAAAAGCGAGAGCGTACTTCTCTGAATAGAAACCTGTTTTCAGGAGAAAAATACCTCCTTCTATTTTCGGATATAATCGATCGGGAATGTTTTATTCATCGGATTAGTAAAATTAAACGTTAATGACACACCTAACAACAAATGAATGGACTCCATCAAACAAAGAGAAACTTGAAGAAATTGTCGCATGGTAATTCACGGGGGTCAAATAATAATCGCCTTTTTAATGACGTTATTGTTCTTTACTCCGTTTACAAGAAGAATGTATGACTATTCGAAAACTCTAGAAACACCCATTTGTTTCTCTTTGCCTAAATATTGTAGGTTTTGAAACTCTTATTTCATAGATAAATTGTCAAAAATGTTACTCTTTATCTCATACATAGATTTTTATGTAACAATTAAATGCAGATTCAGAAAAGACAATTCGACGTCAAATGAGAGCGCGAAGGGAGCGCTTGGGGAAAGCGGGCTTAATTTGGTTTTAAATCTAAGCGCACAGTTCAGGCATCTGTTTGGAGAAGCAAATAATGCCTAGAATTTTCCATTACTTGAGGAGGGCTAAAAATTTCTAGATGACCGTTCCATTCATGTACAATTTTCGAAGCATATCGTTACGGTATCAATTCCCTACGATTTTCTGAAGCTTAATTTTCACATTTTACTTCTCAAGTTAGATTATTTTTTGTAGAAAAAAGGGAACCTTAAATTTTCGGATTCAAAAATGTGATGCGTTAAGAATCAGAAAATGTCTCACTTTCGTTATTCGTCAAATTTGTTCTTAAATTTTCGGAAATATAACACTCAAGCCCTTGTAATTTCGAAAAGACTCAAGTTCCCCTAGGATGACCGAACAGATACATATTTTGTAGCGCCGCTTAGAATGCATTTCTAGATAACTAAAAGTACTCTGGATAGCCTAAAAAGTGTTTTCAATGTATTTTGGAGGAAACCATCGTTGAGTGCCCCTGACCGTTGTCAATGCCGTCACGTTTTCTTTGCCCAATCTGCCTATTTCTGCAGTAAGATTTTCTGTCAAATGCTATCCTTTGGAGGTGGGACTCTTGCCCCAGGAGGGGGGGATACTCGATATATTCTTGGGTGAGGAGGTGCGGCCCGGCCCCTCATACCCTGACCCTGTTTAAGACAAAAATCGCTGATTTTCCTACCCTGTTTAAGACAGAATCTCGATTTTTGATACCCTGTTTAAGACATTTAACCCGAAACCAAAAAAAAGATTTTGCTGTAGTTTAGTTCGTAGAACATAGGCGCAGGCTGTTTATCGTTCGAGAAAAGATACCCTCTTTAAGACTAGACTGCGGCAGTCTCTTATTTTTCTTTGCAAAGTTACTGCACGCGAAACCTAAGCACGCGAGCGGCGAGGCCGCTTGTGGCAAGAAACGAGGGCGTAAGCCGGAGAAGAAAAAATAAGAGACATTTTTTTTTTCTGAGGGAGGGGCCGTCTGTACACAGGCTTTCTTTTTTCGTCTCGTCTGGACGGATTTTAAGAGAAAAGGCGGACTGCAAGCAGTCTAGTTTAAGACAAAAATTGATAAAATCGATACCCTGATTAAGACAAATCAAAGAAAGACTATCGTCAACTCGTGGGTACGTTGTTTAGAAAATAAACAAGTGCTTATCACCTCTGGTTTTCCCACAGTGAATTTTAGGAAATGATAGAAATTCAGATTATAAATATACTATCCTTGTTCTGGAAACACAATACTTTTGTTGCTGTTCATTGCACTTTAGTAACAGTTATTTAAGTATATATTTAAAAACAAAAAAACAAAAAAAAACAGCAAAACAAATAGGCAAACAAGACAAAACAAAAAAGAAAAAAAAAAAGGGAAGAAAGGAAAAAAGAAGGTCTTCAGCAGAATTTGAACCCAGTACCTTCGGGCTGACACGACCTCACATAGCCACTACGCCATTGAGGATGGTCACATGATTTGGCAAAAGAGTCTCAGATTTAATGCCTTTTCCATGGAACTTCCGCCGGCAAACGATCGAGCCATACTTAAGCGATTGAAAAAACGGCTCGAAGCAATCGGATGAAATTAAGGCTAATTGAAACCAGGCTACTGACAGTAAAAAACAATGTAAACGCATTTCATGGCAATGAAAGAACATAAGCGATACAAAGCCGACACATATCCTCCGCGAAGTAGGATGCAAAACATTAGCTTATGTTTTCTTATCTCGATTTCCGCTGTTATTTTAAAGGTAATGCTCAAACTCACATCCATTTCCCCCCGTGATCTTGGGGAGTCCTTAAGAAGAAGAAGAA